AAAAAAAATCTTGCAAAGCATTGGTCTAAAAAAAAAAAAAGTCTTGTGAAGCACGGGCCCAAACATCGTCTAGCAAAAATCGCCCATACGAAGAACCGTTTTGCGAAGCGCAACAGCGATTGCAAAAAACCATCATCTTGTGGATCAGTCGTCCCGCGAGGCAATTGACTTGCGAGGAACAACTGTACTAACTTAATTTTATATATAGGCAGTATGTGTGATGGATAGGTTGTTCTATATCAGATGAGGGTTATAAGATACTGAAATGAAATTAGGATAAAACTACTGGACTTAAGAAGGATAATTGGGAACTTACCCAAAATACAGGAAACAGACAGTGTTTTGTGTATTTTAGTATAGTAGATTATTGGAATCTCCATGATCAGAGGCAGGAGAGGAGTAATGCTTTTGTGTCCTGCTTATGGGTTCCCTGGTGGCGTCTGGTCTCATCCAGGAGGGCTGTTTATGTATTGCTATAAGATGATGTTCTAGTAAATGTCAATCAGTAAGTCAAAGTAAAACCATGAATAGGAACTGTGTGGCACTTCAGATGTCTTTACACTGAAGTTCCCATAATTCATTATCATTGGGTGAGCTGGTAGGGCAACTGGAAGCTGTAGGCCAGAAACATTTGGAGGACCACAGTAGCCTACCCAGCTAAAGCAAATGGAAGCAATGTGTGGCATTCTACATCTAACATGATCGTAACTTCCTGTAGCCCAAGTCAGCACAGGTAGGGATGAGAGAAGTTACAGTCTAGCAACAACTGGAAGGCAGGACATTTTCTAATCCTGCCGTAGACTACTGAATAAACCGAAGAGATTTGAAATAACCAAAGCCATCTGCATGTATATGTATATACGTACACTCAGTAATCACCTCTTGTCTTTTGCAGAGAGCCCCCTACAGTTCTATGTGAACTATCCAAACAGTGGAAATGTGACTGCTTATGGACCTGGCCTTGTCTATGGTGTAGCAAACAAGCCAGCAACTTTTACCATAGTCACTGAAGATGCTGGTGAGGGTAAGTGTCTCGTTCTTCATCATGGTTTTCTGTGATTCACAAAATTGGAGATTCTTGTGCCAGTGCAAAAAGAAAAAAGAAAAAAGCATGAAACATTCTAGAGCTTCCCAGGTACATTTAGGTTGACAAGAAACCCACTTGGTTCCTGAAATTTTAACTTTCACATAAGCATGCGTACTTGAGAACATACTGTATTAGGGACGTGGTGGCACTGCAGGTTAAGCCCCAGAAGCCTCTGTGCTGCAAGGTCGGAAGACCAGCAGTCGTAAGATCAAATCCACGGACAGAGTGAGCTCCCGTCACTTGTCCCAGCTCCTGCCAACCTAGCAGTTCGAAAGCATGTAAATGCGAGTAGATAAATAGGTACCATCACGGTGGGAAGGTCACGGTGTTCCGTGTCTAGTGCTAACCACAGAAACTACAGACAAACGCAGGCTCTATGGCCTGGAAACGGGGATGAGCACCGCCTCCTAGAGTAGGACATGACTGGACATTTATCAAGGGGAACCTTTACCTCCACCTTTACCTTTACCTGAGAACTCAGGTTGTTTAAAAAAATGTAGGTGGATAGGTCTAATTCATCAGGTTCTTTAGTCTATGGCTTCAGGGATACACAGAGAGGCAGACACACATTTAATACAGCATTGCTAGCAGAACTGTGTTATTGAAACACTCTGTGGATTATGAGCTGTATTGGAGCTATCCTTTTTAAACTTGTGGTGATGTTAGGCTGAGAGCTGTCCAGACCCACAAACTAAGCTTTGTGCTTGAGCTTGGGTTTATTTATTTAAAATATGTTTACCCTGCCTTTCTCCTAAAAGAGAACCCAAGGCAGCTTACTTCATTAAAAACACAACATTAAAAGCTAAAGCAGTAAATATAAAGAAGAACTAATAACATTATATTAAAAATGTTAGGTAAAAGCATTACTAAGAACAGATTTAGAAGCAATTAAATACATAAACCATCCTGTTTATACTATGGAGTTCTTTGTCCAGAGACAGCTCCGGGTGCTAGATACTGAACCATATTCTGGGAAAAGTAATGGATACTGTTGCAGAATTAGAGTGGGAACAGAATCCTATAGCCCATTTAGTTTGCTGTCTTGTTGGATACAGGCCAATCCAGGGCTGACTTCAAAAGCAATTCAGCGCCAACTAATTTCATTAATTAAAAGTTGCTTCCTTCACTCGAACAATTGTTTTTGGAGATGAGTTGTACAAGAAAAATGGAACTTTCAGAAAGCAAACCATGATGTTCTATCAAAGCCTTCCCAGAAGGATTCAACACATTTGGAACTGCAAATTGCTCATAATCTTAACTGACTGATGTTAGGCTTCAACTGAACTGCTGGAAAATGTGTAGGGGGAAATGTTAGTAGTATTTACTCCTTCCTTCATGTTTCAGGTGGTTTGGACTTGGCAATTGAAGGTCCCTCAAAAGCTGAAATTAGTTGCATTGACAACAAGGATGGCACTTGCACTGTCACTTACCTGCCGACACTTCCAGGAAACTACAACATATTGGTCAAGTACAATGACAAACACATTCCAGGAAGCCCATTTGTTGCCAAAATCACAGGTATGGTGAGCACTTACGACAGAACAGTTATGTATGAGGGCTAGGGTTAAACATTTGGCACCTGCTCATGGTTCTGTGGTCTAAAATAAGTTAATATAACTTTGTGAAGAGAGAAGGCGTTTTGAATGACACTCAAATCAGATCACTCTGCATAGGTTGGTTGGCATTTTGTAAGTCCAGTTGTGACCTGAGAATTGGACATGATGGAATGCTAAACTGCTCAGTCCCTGTGCCTTCGGGGGGAGAAAGTGTAACCCTCCAGGTATTAGATTCCAACTCCTAGCATTCCTTACTGTTGATGATGCTGGCTACTGCTGATGGAAGGTGTAGCTTAGCAGCATCTGGGGAGGTGAACTTTGCCTCCCCCCACTCAAAGCTGTGTGGCAATATTAAGATTTCAGATGGCTTTTGGCTAGGAATTGAAACCTCAATATTTGTAGAAATGAAAGGTCCCAGAAAAAAAACTCTGGCACTTTCCATTCCAGAGCCTAGGACTGTCCAGTTACTTCCCATCTAGGGTTTGGATTTCTTAGACCATAATTTCGTATCTGGGAGCTGCGGAAGAAGAGTCTCCATGACACCTGATGAGCAACATACTTACATCTAATATTTATTGCTGCCTTGCCTTTCTAATTCAAAGGCATAAGACCCGATGATGAATTGTCCCCAGATGTTACAATCTGGTACTGAACAAGTAGTTGTTGAAAAGCTGTTTAATGTGTACAAGCCTAATGTGGATTCTTGCCTCCTAAAGATGACAACAGGAGACGTTCTCAAGTGAAGCTTGGCTCGGCTGCTGATTTTTTACTGGACATCAACGAGACCGATCTCAGTCTCTTGACGGCCAGTATTAAAGCTCCTTCTGGTCGCGATGAACCTTGCCTTCTAAAACGGCTGCCCAATAACCATATTGGTAAGTCTCCCAGGCTTCCTAGCAGAGGCTACTGCATTGATGTCTCCAGCTGTGCTGTGACCTGTGCAGTTTGCAGAGTGGCCTTCGGAAATCTTGTGATCAAGGTCATAGTTGCAAGCTGATCAACTTCTCAAGCATGTCACATGTTTGGGTTTCGGAGGGTCCTGATGCTGCCAGTAACATTTAATATTCTGGGTTGTGTTGCAGTTTGTTGGGGTTCGTTGCAGATTGAGACAGAACTGCTAAATATTTAGACTATCTCACTGCCAACTTCTCTCACGCAGGTATCTCCTTTATTCCACGGGAGGTGGGGGAACACTTGGTCAGTATTATGAAGAATGGGAGTCATGTGCCAAACAGCCCAGTTTCCATCATGGTGGTTCAGTCTGAGATCGGCGATGCGAGAAGAGCAAGAGTTTTCGGACGTGGCTTGGTTGAAGGACGTACATTTGAAATGTGCGACTTCATTGTAGATACGAGAGATGCAGGTCAGTGCTTGAGCTCCTTTTCATAGAAGATCACCATCGGCAAAGATGTAATGCAGGAAACTCTTCCCATGTATGAGAGATTCCCATCGTATGTTCTGTGTTTCTCATCAGCAGAACAGCACTCTATGCCATTTATTGGCTTTGGCTTTTAACCTGCTAGTCTCACTGCCCAGAGCATAAAACACAAGGCACTTGCGGTATTTGTGTTTTGCACCCTACAGCTTTCATTGTTCCATCTGTGTGATCTGGAAGTTAAAACTCTTAGTCTAAAGTCTTACAAGCTTCTGTTTGACTGGCTTGCACATAATGGCTTGAAATCTATAACATCCAACTCTGAAGAGATGTCACGGAATGGCAACATGTGAGGATCAACCTCTTAGCAATGGTGGGCACTCATTCTTTGTGATCTCTTCTAGGCTATGGTGGGATCTCCTTGGCAGTTGAAGGACCTAGCAAAGTAGATATCCAGACAGAAGATCTGGACGATGGAACGTGCAGAGTGTCGTACTTTCCAACTGTCCCAGGTGTTTACATAGTTTCAACCAAGTTTGCTGATGAACATATCCCAGGTAAGAGGGGTGGGAAGCATATTATGTGAGCTAACAACTTCTCCTTTGCTTCTGTACCACATTGCTATTGCACCCCCCACCTCCCTGGATGCCTAGTACAGATCCTGTGGAGGACTTTCTCGGGCTGTGGCTGTTCTGGAAACACTTGAAGGAATGCTTTGGTGGCAAAGCTCTGCTTGGCAATATTTGTGCTTTTTGATCATTTGAGAATGTGTTGTTGAAGGGAATGGGTTCTTCTGTAGTGTATCGGTAATTAAGCAAATCCTGGTTAGCTACATGAAGCTGGACTCCTTGTCTGTCTTCACTGCTAAATTGTCCTTTGGAGGTGCTATAGCTGAGTCTGGGTAGGGCTAAATGAGTAGTGGGGATAGAGCATACATGTAAGCTCCACCTCTGTGCTTTTTCCTGGAACTCTGTCAAACGTTTCATATGAAGTCTACTGAGGGAGTTCATAAAGAGCATTCAGCTGAATGTGTCAGAAGGCTCCTTTGTAGACTTTCGCATTAAACAAGGATGCGCCTCCATGTCTCAGCCCAAACCCCATTTAGTTCTACGTAGATTTTAGACAGACACCTCAATAGAGCTAGTATCTCCTGCTGAACAATTTCAAAAGCAGTGGATCATTCGTGCTCAGTGGTGTAAAATGTTATGCCACTAATTAAATAACATGTAGTAAGTATACCTCTAAAAATCTCTCAGCTGCCTGTAAATAGTTGTTGTCCATCGTTTGGTCAGTGCAACGTAATGCAAACTTTTCTGTCCTACTTAAAGGAAGCCCATTCACTGTGAAGATAAGCGGGGAAGGAAGGGTAAAAGAAAGCATCACACGTACTAGACGGGCTCCTTCTGTGGCCACTGTTGGAAGCTTGTGTGATCTCAACTTAAAAATCCCAGGTAAGTTTCAGTCTCTGATGTAGTTTAACAACAAATCATAGGAAAGGATTGGGAACTACTGAAAATGCAGAGGACTCTTTGACATCACCAGTAGTCCATTTAAGTAATTGAGTTCTTACTGTAGTTTTTCTTGGACCATGAATTATTAAGTCATTGAGTTTTTGTGTGTGTGGTGCATTAGGTTTTTAAGGTTCCTTTAGTAATTTGACTTGTATCCCGCCTTCCTCCTAAGAATGGCACTTAAGAGGGCTTATCTTCAGAAACCGGAGTGCCTGAATACCCTGAAGAGAGACCAGGGAAGGCATGCTGTCTGTGCCCACATTTGCTTTCCTTAACTCGGTGTCTCTTAAAATTACCAGAGAAGGCACTCATTGTAATAAGGATACTGCTCAGGTTACCCTCTCTGTATTGCATGTGAAAATGTGGGTGAAATGACTATGATAGAAATGTGTAGTATCTGCTTTGTGTGGGGATGTAACTAGAGAAAAAGTGTAAGACACAGCAAGCCATGACCATTTCACTTACTTCCAACATCTAGATACCAATGTTGGAGTATAAATCCTCTTTGTCATTCCAGTATTAATATTCACATTGCCCATTATGCTTCAGCATGCTTCTGTTTCAGTCCAAATGTATCCCACACCATCTTTTTTTCTTCACTTTGTCTAACTAGGCCTGCTTTTCCTGTCTTGTAGTTCTTTTTCCTCTGCTGCTTCTCTCCTACTTGCATGGTTTCAAATGGCTGTGTGTGTGGAGAGAGAGTGTCCTGTCATTTCACACCAGCTCAGCCTCACTTTCTTAGGTGCTGAGGAGAAAGAAGGAAGACTGCCAGATTCAATCTGTGAGGTCTTATTTTCATAGATATCCCAACCCATCTCAGAAGACAATTTTTTTCTAATTAATATTTTTTTTTAAAAAATTGTTTAAGTATTGTATGCATGGGTTCTTCAGGGGTAACAGGCATATTTAGTACTGAGGGTATTTTTCATCTGCATTCCACAATTCAATAAAATCTGCCTGAAGACTGAATAAATGGAAGGTGAGCCATTTAGTATTTGTTACAAAGATTTCTAACAAATCTTTTAAGTGCATGTCTAGTCTGTAGTGCTTAACCGATTGAAAGAGTAAGAGTGCTTGCAGAATAAATCTCAAATCCAAGTAGTGAACATTTTCTCCTTATTTTATGTGCATTCTTAATACAGTGGTGCCTCGCACAGCGTTCCGGATTAACCCTCGCTGTGTGAAACATCGCTGTACGGAAAGAAAAAAGCCATTGGAATGCATTAAACTTAGTTTAATGCGTTCCAATTGGCTGATTTACTCACCGTACAGCGATGTTCCTCTATGGCCGGCAGCCATTTTCGCGCCTTCCCCTCGCTTAACGAGGGCACGAAAACGCTGCGCGTGGCCACTTTGGGGCTTCCGGCGGCCATTTTGAAGCCACGGAACAGCTGATCGGCGGGTCGCAAAGCGAAGGTCTGTAAGCGAACCGACCTTCGCTCTGCGATTTTCGCCCATTGGGGCCATCGCTCTGCGATCGCATTAGCGATCGAAAAAACATCCCCGTAGAGCAAATTCATCACTCTACGGGGCGCTCGTTGTGCAAGGCACCACTGTAATGTGATGGACTGTATGGCTAGCTATAGTCCAACAACTGTGAGCTTATACATTTGAGAGGTGAAATAGGCGTTCACAAAACATAATGATCCATGTGCAAATGTTTGTTGACCCATTTTAAGTCTGACCAAGGCTGCTTTAAGTCTGTGTCAGATTCCATATGGGATTTGTTTTCCATATCTGGCTGCAAAGCCAGAGGTTGGGAATTCAACTGCCCACTGTGCCTCCTAGGAAAACAGCCAGCCTGTACTGCCTTGGGCAAGTTGCACTCCCAGAGGGAGGGAATGGTGAGCTACTTCTGAGTGCTCTGTGCCTAGAAAACCCTGGAAAAAGGCATCATAAGTCAGAATTGATTTGACAGCACATTGTTATTTAATATTATAGATTGCAAGGAAAGGCAGCAAAAGCAAAAGTTGGATCTTTTATTTCAGAAATAGATGGCTGGTTTTCAGTAAGTAAAAGTAAAGGCCTTGCAGCTCCCAAATGATTATTTGCAACTGAAGAGTGCAGAGGGTTGCAGTTTGTCCTGCAATAGCTCTCTGTTATGAGGGTAGGTTCATGAATGCTCCCTCTTGCAAAGGGAGGTGTAGTGTCATGCTTGCAGAAGACAGAGGTGCAAAACCAGGTTTGTGCAAGTCCTTATTGAGGTCTGATCATAGATACCAAAGAGGTTTTGAATGAGCAGATTTCTGTTCATCTGTGTTACATCACTGGCTCTTTCTGTGGTGTGTGTCAGTATATACTTAGCAAGTGTTGGAGGAGCCTTGTGGCCCAGTGGTTAAACTGCAGTACTGCAGTGAAAGCTCTGCTTATGACCTGAGTTCAATCCCAGAAGATTCAGGTAGCCGGATGTTGTTTGAGTCAGCCTTCCTTCCTTCCTTCCTTCCTTCCTTCCTTCCTTCCTTCCTTCCTTCTGAGGTCAGTATATTGAGCACCCAGTTCATGGGTGTGTGTATCAATGTATAGTTTACATAATTACATTGAAAACCCCCCAGAGAGTGCTTCAACATTATAGACCAGAAGTATACTTCTGGAAAGTTGAGTAGCATAAAGTTCCCAATATATGGCAAAATGCATGCATGATCTTTACCCATGTTACTGTAAGCATACCCCTTATCCTAGTATACAATCCCTAAGGACTCTCCCACAGTCAAGGACCTGAGTTAGGTGGCTTTAAAACTTAGAGGGAAAAGACTTCAACCTCAGCTGCATAGTCAACCAAACCTCTGTGATTTTAGACATGGTAGGCTTTGTATGAGGAAGCTTTCAACGCAGCCGAAGTGGATTCTCATTCTCTATCAGCTCGTGTGAGATGTTCAAAACCAAAAATACTCTCCTTCCCTACTAATTTTAGACTCTTTTCTTCTCTTTAAAGAAATTGACATTGGTGACATGTCAGCCCGGGTAACTAGCCCCACAGGGAGAATAACAGATGCAGAAATCGTAGAGCATGATAAAAACACATATTGTGTCCGCTTTGTACCCCAAGAAATGGGGGTCCATACAGTTGATGTGAAATACCGAGGGCAACATGTGCCTGGCAGCCCATTCCAGTTTACCGTTGGACCGCTTGGTGAAGGAGGAGCCAGTAAAGTCAGAGCTGGTGGTCCAGGACTTGAAAGAGCAGAGGCAGGCATCCCAGGTAAGACCGCACTTGAGCTAACTTTCTGTGTATGTGACATGAGTCCCGGTGGCACAAAACTCCAGTGCCAAAAGAAAGGCCTGAGAAGTCTTAGGCCCGCCTCTAATTGTGGTCTCTTGTCAACAGCTGAATTCAGCATATGGACGAGAGAAGCAGGAGCCGGAGGACTCTCCATTGCAGTGGAAGGCCCAAGCAAAGCAGAAATTGCCTTTGAAGACCACAAAGATGGATCTTGTGGTGTATCATACACAGCTCAAGAACCTGGTATGAAACTGAAGTATTAATAACTTGAAATAGTCATGCATTAAGCTAAGGTTCCTCTGCGTGTTCCTGGTTTGCTGAATTAAGCTTTTGTATCTTTCAGGAAACTACGAAGTGTGTATCAAATTCAACGATGAGCATATTCCTGAAAGCCCTTACCTGGTTCCTGTGATTGCTCCTTCAGATGATGCACGTAGGCTCACTGTTATGAGCCTTCAGGTGAGACACAAGGAAATATCTATATAACTTACCACAAGCTGATTTCATCCTTGTTCTTAAACTCTTCACTTCACCAGTGGCGTTTCTCTGATGAAAACTCTTGGCAAGCAAATAGGCCTTTACAGTTAGGAAGCAGCACCTGACATGAGTAAATTTTTCATAGTATTTCAGCTGATTGGGGGGGAATAGCCTCCATTTGCCAGCCTCCCCCTCCAGTTCTTTTTCTTTCTGTTAGCATTACATCTCCAGAAGATCTGTTGAAGCTCTGCCATGTAAGGTCGTCATTGACAGCACTTAACAATAATTGTGTTAAGTTGACTTCTAGGGTTGCATGTCTAGCCTCATCTTTCACATACAGACAAGGCAAAGTATCTTGATGCTGAAGCATTTATTTTACGTATGTTCTGAGTCTGCACATGATTGAAAAATTGGGCTCTGTGGTTAGCACAAAGCAGTAATTCACACACATGCAGGTGTCACCAAACCACAAGTTTATGGTTCGTACAGTTCCTAAAGAGCAGCCAAAGAGAGAGTGAATGCCAGATTTATAAAAGCTTGAGTTTGTGTATAGTCCTTTATCTTTTTGTGGCTTGCATGTAGCTTGATCCACATAAGATTTTAAATGCATTTCTTAAACCTCAGCTGTAAGTTATTTCAAAGAGAGGCTTCAGCTTCAGCCAAGCCCAACAAACTGGTGTGAGGACTGAAGGAGCAGCATAAGGTTAACTGGATTACACAAGTTTGCAAAATCTGTCCTTTTAGGCACCGATTTTCCAAGTGTCAGTACAATTTTCTCTAGCCAGATCTCTACAAAAAGAAGTTACAAGGACGCTAATTAGCTGTGGTACTGATGTTTTTCTTGTGTTTCATTTAAAGACTCCTGACAGAATGTGTAGTGTCAGCTGACTTTAACCCTGAAGAGGGAAATAAAACTAATGGGCTGGGATAAAACTTTTGCAGGAGCAGTCTTTTGCATTCGGTACCCTCCTTGATGCATTTTAGTGTCCTGTTTTTACTCCAACTGTTGGTAATTTCAATTTATTTCTCTCTTGAGGGTAAAGCTATAAATGAAATCTCAGGTAAGCTATGCACTCTATCCCTAATGTTCCCCCAGGATGTAACTTGAATTTCCCAATAACTAAAGGCAGATATCACATATGCATAACATCTGGGACAGTATCTCCTTGCATGTGTGAGGGATCAATACTGCAAAACAGATGTGCATCTGAGGTGTGCTTTGGTTTCCTCTTCCTTTGCTGTCATACCAGAAATCTTCCAAACTGGGTATCAGCTGGCAGCATGCAAAGTGTTATTTCCTTGTCTATCTTGGCAGAACATAAATTGGCAAGCTGCACACATAGGAAAAGAGGATTCAGCTGAATGTAGAAAACTAGATTTAGCAAAACAGGTTTTGCATAGAGTAGTATATGTTTGAGCACTTTCTGGTTCTTCTTTATGGCCTCTGTGAATCACACTGTGGGTGATCCGCGCCTGTGGGGAGACTCTTTGGAATATTTTAGAGCTTCTGTGGTAGCGAAAAACACAATAGAATAGACCCCACCCCTTCAGTATAAGTATGTTGGTGCCAGGACTCTCCCTTCAGTTTCTTTCAACCGCTGCATTGAAGAGCCTCGTAATTCTATCTTCTGTGAGTCTGAAAGTGAAACAAGTTTCTTTTTACTGCTAAATTTATAAAATTTCTCTATTTCTCTTTCTTATTAATCAAAGACACATATTACGAACTGTTTTTAGTTTTTTCCTCCGTACCTCAGTCTTCGGCCGTCGTACCCCCCCTCACTCCATTTTTTTCTTTTCCTTTTCTTAATTGTTCATGGCCCCTTTGAGCCCATTCAAGCACTGTGTGATTTGCGATAACAAGATCCCCCGCTATCAGATGGTCACGCAAAGTGCCTTTTTTGTTTAGGCGAGGTGCATCAAACCTTCTCGTGCCCTCATTGTAAAAATTTTAAACAAGGAGTCCTCCGTTCTTGCCTTTCTCGACTCAAACTCCGTCTCTGGGAACAGTCCTTGCAACCAGCAAAACCTATGGGTCAACCTCCGTGTAAAACCACCTCACAGGGTAAAGCCATGGAAAAAGCCATTGCATAATCATCAAAACATTGTTCCTTCACTACTCCATCTCATTCTGATGCGCCTTCCACTTCATCGAACAAGGAGTCCTCCGTTCTTGCCTTTCTTGACTCAAACTCCGTCTCTGGGAACAGTCCTTGCAACCAGCAAAACCTATGGGTCAACCTCCGTGTAAAACCACCTCACAGGGTAAAGCCATGGAAAAAGCCATTGCATAATCATCAAAACATTGTTCCTTCACTACTCCATCTCATTCTGATGCGCCTTCCACTTCATCAAAAACTTCTAAGATGCATCCATCCAAACAGTCGACATCAAAAACGCTGACATCGAAGTCTTCCGAAAAGTGAAAGCTTCCTCCTGATCTGATTCCAGCCCCCCCCCCGCAACCGAAGCAATCTAAACAAACCAAATCAAAGACCTTGGCAGTCCCTCTACAACAAGTCTCCAAACCCAGCGATTCAATTTCTGTCGGTTCGCCCTCTGATGATGGACTTCTATCTCATCAACCAGTTTTTCAGTCACCGACATGGGACGAGCGAGTGGACCGTCTTACTTCCTCCTCTAATAGTCCCCGACATTCTATCTCTCCTCCTAATCTGTCCACTGATGCCTCCCCGGAGAGAGAGGAACCTGAGCCTCAGCCAGACACAGTGCCGTATTCTGTACCATCAGGCCAGCCTCCACGGCCACCGGCATGCTATTAGGCGCATCCCGTATATGAGTCAATTTCACAAGTACGTGTCAATGAATGCCATGCCCAGCACGCTCATCGGGTAGACATTTGCCCCGATCAGTGCTTCTCTAAGCTGCCAGCTGCGGATGCTCGACCAGCTGCTTCCTCTGGTCCAGTACTGTATTAGCGTCACCCCAAAAACCTCCATCTCGACAACCTTCCGTGTTGAAGAGGCCTTATCACTCAGATGCATGCATCCATTATATAACTCTTCATCAACCACTTGCAAAAATCAGGCCAGTCGAGAAACATGCTTCCACCCGTGAAGCATTCGCAGTCCCAGTGACCTCATATTTTCCACTCCTCTCGCTTGGCATCTCCAGCCTCGATTTACTCTACAGACCTACCTATGTGTCTACTGAATCAGCCTCAGCTGCCCTTTTGACACCATAGAGACACTGGTTCCGATATCGAAGACTCTCAATATCCATCCTGGTCCATGGATGCTCCACTTCAATTTTTCTCGGTTGCTAGCCCTCAACAGCGGCACCAAGTCAATTATTGCAGTCCATCAATATCGAGATGTAGACTTTGACACTGATGTTCCAATTTGTTTACCTCCGTCCATGGACGCACCTTCGACATTGATACTGGTCAGCAACTGTCCATGGACATGCCACCCTCTTTAGTGGCAGACCACTGTCAACATTACTATGACCAACATCCTCTCAACACCAAGGTCGATCAACATCCTATCAATTCCAGGCTCGATCCTGAAATCTCAGAACATGGTTCTTGACTGCAAACTCCATCTGTGCTTCTCACATCGCCAGATTCCAACCTCGCAGATGTAGATCCTCCATCCCCAGCAGAGGATTTTCAAACTTACGCTCAACTCATGATCCGCATGGCTAAGTCCTTGGATCTTCAAATCCATCGCTGCACAACCGAACTGCCGGATCACCTTTATGATCCTATTTCTAAGGACACAACTACCCCAGTCCATATTTCCATGCTACTATCTTCTCTTAGCACTGTTCAGAGATCTTGGACTAAACCAGCCTCCTTTCACTCAGTTTCGAAAAAAACTGATAATCTCTACCGGATACACGACCCAGGAGCACTTTTTCTCTAGAAATAGCAGACCCCAAATTCGATATTTGTTGAGGCCTCACAATCTCGATCTCGACACCAACAGTCTCGTATCCCACCTAACAAAGACAGTTGAAAAATCAAATCTATGGGCAGGTGGCTTTACTCATCAGCGGTTTTTACTGTGAGGGTAGCTAACTACCAAGGAGCTATGGGAGCATATCAACACTTCCTTTGGGATAACATTGCCACTTTTCTTTATTCTTTACCAGAAGACAAAAAAGTATTAGCACAAACCTTCCAACAGGAGGGTCTCTGTCGCTAAACAGCAAATGCTGTCAGCCGAGCACACGATACATGCCACGGCTAAATCCATGGCTACCTCTGTCGTGCTCAGATGCTTCTCCTGGCTAACAATAGCCGGCCTCGCTGAAGATGCCCGAGCATGTATTGAAGACCTCCCATTCAATGGCACTGGTCTCTTTAATGCTGAAACTGATGACATCTTAGAAAACTTTCAGAAGAAACATTCTGCTGCCAAAAGATTGGGCGTCTATCCCACTTACCAACAGCTCTCCCAACGTAACCAATGGAGGCGACCTTACAACTCCTAACAGAGGTTCCAGCACGAACCCCAATGTCAGGCCTTCTACACACCAAATTTTAAACAACAGCACTACAAAGTGAAACCTTGCCAGCAATCTATCTAAAGGCGTAATGACCACAAACCCAAACATCATGTTTGACATTTTCCCGACCAAGATCACAAATCAACCTCCCTTCCTAAGGAAATGCTTACCTGCCTGGCAATCCTTTACCACCAATGCCTGGGTTCTGTCCATCGTCCAAAATGGATACAGCATCCATTTCCATCAACTCCCTCCATTACATCACACCGTCACTCCACCGCCCCAAACTCTACAAGAAGAGATAAAAAATTTACTCACCAAAGACACAATAGAACCTATACAACAAAACAGCAATGTTTTTTCCTCTTGTTATTTCACCGTCCCCAAAAAGGATGGAGGTTTACAACCTATTCTAGACCTCAGAGAACTCAGTATGTCATCACCACAAAATTCCTTGTGGTAACCCTCGAATCTGTTCTACCTCTTCTCAGAAAAAAACAACTGGTTCACAGTCATAGATCTGTGAGATGCATACTTCCACATCTCCATCCACCCTTCCCACAGACAGTTTCGATTCCAGCTATGGCCCCAAGCCTACCAATTCAAAAGACTTCCTTTCAGACTTGCAACAGCTCCAAGATTCTTCACCATGTGCATGGCTCCAGTGGCTGCCTTTCTCAGACTTCAAAAGATCGTCTTCCCATACATAGATGACTGACTCCTTGTAGCTTGTTCCCGCTGCAAGGCTTGCCGGGACACCCTTTTCACCTTATCCCATCTTTGTGATCTCGGTCTCACGGTCAACATGCAAAAATCCAAAATGAGCCCTACAAGGGTTATTCATTATACCAGGGCTTCCATAGACTCCACCCGAGCTCGCACATTCCTCCCACTCAACAACCAACAAAACCTTATATCCTTCCTCCAAGACTTCACCCCCATGCCTTGGTTCCTGCCATCCTTGTCCAGCATGTATTGGGCACCATGGCTTCCATGACTTCAGTTGTACAACACGTACGCCTGAAGACGAGGTCTCTGTAATCATGGTTTCTCACACTTTTTGACCCACTAACAGATCTTTCCAACACTCTTTTAAAAGTTACTCCCGAACTCGCCTCACAACTCCAATGCTGATGCTTCATCCCGAATCCCATGTCCTCAAATACAGATCACAACTGACGCCAGCCTTACCGGCTGGGGAGCACATTGTGGCTCTCTCAAAATACACGCCAATTGGTCCCGCAGAGAACGTTCACTCCACATCAACGAGTTAGAACTATTAGCAGTGATAAAGGCATGCAAAGCATTCAGAAACGTTCTAACTGGCAAGGTGGTCCAGATTGCCACCGACAACACCACAACCCTGTATTACATTCGCAAACAAGGTGGCACACACTCCCCAAGCTTCCTCTATTTGGCGGCCGACCTATGGGAATGGTGCCTCTCGCACCACATACCTCACAGCTCTGCACATTACAGCCCAGGACAATGATGTAGCTGACACTCTCCACCGCACAAACTCACAACCCCATGAGTGAGAATTAGATCAAACAATTTTTTTCTTCACCTGTGCAAAAAATGGGGCAAATCAACTCTGGACCTTTTTGCCTCCCACAACAATTGGAAATGCAAACACTATTGCTGCCATGCCAGGATCAGCAAACACTCCTGAGGAGACACGTTCGTTTTCTCACTATTTCTGCTCCTCCACAGGGTAATTGTCCAAATACATTTCTCACTATTTCCGCTCCTCCACAGGGTAATTGTCCAAATACAGCAGGACAAACCCAATGTCATCCTCATTGCTCCTTGGTGGCTGAGACAGCCGTGGTTCCCAATGCTACACCACCTGTCCTCCACCATCTATCACCTCCCCCACCTACCACACCTCCTCACGCAGAACAATTCCCAAATCCTTCATCCCGACTTAGTTGCTCTTCACCTGGCATCGTGGAGGATTCTCCCTCCTTCATGGATGTCCTCCGTTAAGTAAAGAAGCCTTCAACTAGAAAGGCTTACCTGTATAAATGGGAGCAAAATCAATCTTTTACTACAGCTATTTCCCTTCCTGCTGTCAACCCATCTCTCTCCATGGTCCTCCGATTTTTGCTCCATCTCAAATCTTCTGGCCTTTCTGTCTCATCTGTTAGAGTCTACCTCTTGGCAATTGTCTCTTACCAACCACCGACTTCTCTGGTGGCTCAATTTTTCAGACATCCCACACTCAAGCACTTTCTTACAGATGAGACAGAATTGGTTGGCAATTGTCTCTTACCAACCACCGACTTCTCTGGTGGCTCAATTTTTCAGACATCCCACACTCAAGCACTTTCTTAAGGGATCGTCACACGCTTACCCAGACATTCACCTGCCTTCTCCACAATGGTCCTTGACTCTAGTCTTGCAACAACTCACTAAGCCTCCCTTTGATCCGCTAGCTTCAGCGGATCTCCATTTACTTACCTTCAAAACAGTCTTTCTCATTGCAGTTACTTCAGCTCACCAAGCAAGCGACCTTGCGGCCCTATGCCATGATTATCCTTATATGCAATTCTATCCTGATAAAATAAAGCTGTTTCTCAGTGTCTCCTTCCTTCCTTCCTAAAGTGGTGTCTCAATTTCATCTCTCTCAACTACTAGTCCTCCCATCTTTCTTTCCATCACCATCCACAACCCATGAATGACTTCTTCATACTTTGGACGTCAGGAGGGCCCCCTCCATTTATTTGTCACATACACAACCTTTTCGGCATTCCCCACGCCTTTTTGTCAGTCACCAACTGCAAGTCACTTCTCAGACAATTTCTCGCTGGGTTGCCTCTACTAGAGTGGTCGAAATGACTAGATAGGCGGGGTATAAATACAATAAACAAACAAACACACACACACACATACATATATACATACAAACATACATACATAAATACATACATACATACTATTCGGCTTGCATACCAGCTTGCTCGACAGCCGGTCCCTCAAGCTATTCGCCCTCATGCCACCAGGGCATTGGCAACCTCTACAGCACTCCTACGTGGTCTGCCTCTCCCCAACATCTGCGCCTCGGCTACGTGGGCGCAACCCTCTACCTTCATCCGGCATTATAGACTGGATGTTTGACAGAAGTCTGACGCGGCATTCGGACATGCTGTTTTGGCTTCCGCCTTGGCGTGACACCCTACCCTGTCTACGGGTAAGGCAGCTTGCTAGTCACCCACAGTGTGATTCACAGAGACCATGAAGAATGGCAGGTTACTCACCTGTAATTGTAGTTCTTCAAGTGGACCTCTGTGATTCACACATCCCACCCGACCTCCCCTCTGTCACGCCATGCAATATTTTTCTCCTTGTGGCGGTTGACACAACTGAAGGGAGAGTCCTGGTGCCAACGGACTTATACTTGGGGGGGGGGTCTATTCCAATGTGGGTTTTGCTACCACAAAAGCTTTAGAATATTTCGAAGAGGCTCCGTGCAGGCGCGGATCACCCACAGTGTGAACCACAGAGGTCCACTCAAAGAACTACAATTACAGAGTAACCTGCCATTATGCCTGGTGGTTTTGGCAATAATTCCATGCCAGCATCCAGAGCTGCAAACAAGTGAGGATCATCTTGCAGTATTGATCTTCAGGACAGGTAAATGTTTGTGTGGGTAGGAAAAATGTAAACACACACACTCTGTAGTCATGTTTTGCATTCTCTTGAAGGATGTGATAATCTTAAGGGACTTTCATATTATATCACTCCTCTGGGGTCCTCAAGAGACTACTGCAGCATTTATCCTAGCTTTAAGTATCTCAGAGGTGAGATAACACATACCCCCAGCCCAGTGGAGAAAATGCCTTCCTGTATAATAGGATAGTCCTTGTGTCCTTGAAAGGAGACAAGCTTCTGTCAATAGCACAGTTGATGCATCCCTTCACAGGTCAAACCCCCCATGTGGCAGTTTCCAAAGGGGTGACACTGTTAATCTGTTAACAGGAAGGATCGTTGGGGCGCCTCCAGAAGTGTGGTTTGTGGACACAAGGCTCTTCTGTGCCCACAAATACTCACAGTATAGTAAATCCGCTGGCCTTAAATGTGCCGCAGAGCTTTTTTGTTGTTGTTTGATGATGTCGTCTTTTTCTCTTGATAGCAAATGGGTCACTGGCCAAATGCAGCTTCCTTCTTGGTTCTGTGGTGCTGTTTTTAGATGGTGTGATACAAAGATTATCTCTGCTTTTTTGAGGCCGAGGGGCACTGCGCTGTTACATTATATTCCTTGTAAGCCAAATGTCAATATTTGTGGTAATCTTACTATCGCATTCTTAGGAGTCTGGGTTGAAAGTTAACCAGCCAGCGGCCTTCGCGATTAGGCTTAATGGGGCAAAGGGCAAGATTGATGCTAAAGTACATAGTCCAATTGGAGCTGTAGAAGAATGTCATGTCTCTGAATTGGAGCAAGGTAAGGAGGCCCAGGAAACCTGGCGCTAGACTTTGTGACATATTACAACAGACAAATGTCTCCTGAAACATAATGGTAGCGTTTTCATAAGCAGTGAGTAGGCAGTTGCTTGGTAGCCCAAATCCAAGAGGCTGTGTTGAGTCAGGAAAACCTTCTATTGTGATTTGCATCAAAGGCTGACTAGCCTGCTTGTTTATGTGCCACACCAGCTGTGCTTTATGCAAAAGGGAAGTAGTCTTACGTATAGAGGTTGCATAAAATTATAAGCATACTAATGGCTTGGTTAGATAAGCACCTTTATATGTGGTAAGAGGGTGCCACACACATTCTTCTTTTGCTTCCAGTACAGGTATGTTTGTAATGCTATAGAAGGGAATGTATTGACCCCCGACATTATCTTAAGTTGAGCCCCTAATCCATTTTGGAAGAATATTATTGTCCTCCCCTTCTGCTTTTGATAGGATGTGTGTGCTAATTCTACAGCAGCCCTGTTCAGATATTATGTTGGAATGTAAATAGGGCTAAGTGGGGGCTGGGGACAAGGGCCCATATGTGTAAGTCCCCCCCTGTGTTCTGACCTAAACCCCCAAGTCTGCAAAGAGCCCTTTGAGTATGTTCGGCTGAGTACACTTGCAGCCCTCTTCCATTATTGACATGTAATAATGGGCTCAAGTTACAGCAGGCCAGATTTTGGTTGAATATTGGGAAAAACTGCATAACCATTAGAGCAATATGGCAGTGGAGCCAGTTGTCTCAGGAGGAAGTAGTGAGCGCGCCAGTGCTAGAAGCATTCAAGAGCAAGTTAGACATTGATTTGGATCCATGCACTAAGCAGAGTTTGGACTCTGTGGCCTTCTAGGTCCCTCCCAACTCCCTTGTTTCATGATACTCCTGATTGGCAGGGTTCCCAGCCATGCGTGTTTAGCTGAACATACAGGCTGCTGCCCAGATGTTTTTTATTAAATACACCAGAGGTCTTGCTGGCTTTTAGGTAGGGTGGACTGGGGTAGCAACATAAGGAGTGGGGCTTACATACCACCCCTGTAACTCATACAGATTAAGGCATAATATTTGGACAGGGCTAAAAGCTTCCTTTAGGGAATGCCAGTGGGGTTTATGGCTATCAGATTTCTAAACAACTCCCAGACCTGTTTCTGCTTTCTAAGAGTAAACCGTGTTCAAATACTTAATTGTCTTAAGAGTCTTAGACTACAGTACTGTATGTTCAAATGCTTAACTGGGGTTGAATATTGGGACAAACTGCATAACCATTAGAGCAATATGGCAGTGGAGCCAGTTGTCTCAGGAGGAAGTAGTGAGCGCACCAGTGCTAGAAGCATTCAAGAGCAAGTTAGACATTGATTTGGATCCATGCACTAAGCAGAGTTTGGACTCTGTGGCCTTCTAGGTCCCTCCCAACTCCCTTGTTTCATGATGCTCCTGACTGGCAGGGTTCCCAGCCATGCGTGTTTAGCTGAACATACAGGCTGCTGCCCAGATGTTTTTTATTAAATACACCAGAGGTCTTGCTGGCTTTTAGGTAGGGTGGACTGGGGTAGCAACCTAAGGAGTGGGGCTTACATACCACCCATGTAACTCATACAAATTAAGGCATAATATTTGAATAGGGCTAAAAGCTTCCTTTGAGGGAATGCCAGTGGGGTTCACGGCTATCAGATTTCTAAACAACTCCCAGGCCTGTTTCTGCTTTCTAAGAGTAAACCATGTTCAAATACTTAATTGTCTTAAGAGTCTTAGACTACAGTATGTTCAAATGCTTAACTGTCCCCAAAAGTAGATTAGGGTTACATTGCTGGTTTTACCATAGTCTTTTGGAAAACAAACAGCTGACAATAAACTGAGAGTGGACAGCAAGGACTGATTTAAATACAACCACACTACTCTGGTGGATGTCTGTATAGATTGGGGATTAGGGTTACATTGCTGGTCTTACCATAGTCTTTAGGAAAGCAAACAGCTGACAATAAACTCAGAGTGGACAGCAAGGACTGATTTAAATGCAACCACGCTACTCTGGTGGATGTCTGTATAGATTGGGCTCGTCCTGCCATTAGGTAGAATGAGGCTCCTGCTTTAGGTAGGTCACTGCAGAAATGTCTTGTGGCATAAAGACAGGCCACAGAAAACGTGCATGCTGTAATTTAGGATGTCAGGTGCTTTGCTACAGTAGCAAGATCTAAATCAAGTTATTTCTTTGCTCGTAAATGTGTTGCAGATAAATATGCCGTTCGGTTCATTCCACGAGAAAATGGCATTCATTCCATCGATGTGAAGTTCAATGGGAGCCACGTAGTAGGCAGTCCCTTCAAAGTCCGAGTGGGGGAGCCAGGGCAAATAGACAGCCCCGCTCTCGTGACGGCCTATGGGCCAGGCCTTGAGAATGGCGTAACAGGTAATTTCTCTCCTCTTTAATTGTGAACGTGCCACCGGTTCTTGGTCTGAAGGACATTGCTAAATTAAGTTGGCATATCATAATTCAGGTTTTCTGTTTGTACTCTGGAGCCCAGCAGTAACAAGCCAATATCCAGGAAAATACAGAATTAGATGTCACGCCTGCTTGAATCTATCTCATGGGTTAGCACCCCCATTTTAGCAGTTCATTAAGGAACCACTCAAGACAAAAGTTGTCTTGACGATATTGTCTGCCCTCAGCAAGATACTTCAAAGCAGAGATAAGAGCCTCTGCCCCTGTAGATACTCTGACCTGCAAGTCGCATCAGCCTCAGCCAGGCTAGCACTGGTAAGGGGTTGCAGAAGTTCACTTTAAAGGGCTATTTGCCTGAAAATCGTTTCTTCCATGGACTTCAGAGAAACTGAACTGGGTTGACTTTCAGTACTTATAGCGGGTATTAGTTGCCGGTTTCCCAGCTCAGTGGATCTGGACCAACCAGGTCACTTAGGCTTTCAGACTGTGTCTCTTTCAGAGCTGGCTCTGTGGTGAGCTTTTTTCTAGCCATGGACCATTTGGTTGGTTTTGGATACCAAAGTTCATAACATTCTGATGAGAGCTTCTTGCACATTTTGAGCCAGTTCTTTTGCTTCGTTCTTTGCTTGTCTGCAAACACACTTGTCCAGCCACATTTGAAAGCGTGAAATAGCTTGTTAGCAAATACATTGGTAATGCCATTGAGAAAACAGGCTGCTTTTCTTCATGGACCTTTTACAGGCGTAGAAATAGATATATGCTGCCGACCCACATGGACATTCCTTTTACTAGGAGCATCACTTGTCAATAGGCTACTCAGTGGAATAATTCATGTTGAGATGTATACCTTCGGTTTTTTGTATGTTCAGTGGCTTAGGAATAAAAATCACAAAAGAAAAAGTGTGACGATGTAAATAAGTACTAAATAAAAACTTTTTTAAATTTTTTTTTTCTAGGGCTACAGTCTGGGTTTACTATAGACACCAGCAAAGCTGGCCCTGGTACCCTTGCTGTTACAATTGAAGGACCATCAAAGGTGAAAATGGATTGTCAGGAAGCACCAGAGGGCTACAATGTGATGTACACCCCTATGGCTCCAGGGAACTACTTAATTGGAATTAAATATGGAGGACCTAATCACATAGCTGGTAGTCCTTTTAGAGCAAAAGTAACAGGTAAGATGAGGGAGATGGTCTAGATGGGGGCTGTTGATCATGGTAGGTCTTTTTTTAAAAAAAAACCCTAACATGGCAAAGGGAGGCATTACTGGGTTGTTCAACGTCTGTTTTATGTAGCTCCGAATTCTTATATTGTTGACCTAACAATGGCAGGATGCTGGTGGAGAACTCTGCTCTGCATCTTACTGTTTGCATCTTACCCTTCTCAGGTCAGCGGCTGGTTAGCCCAGGCATCTCAAATGAAATGTCTTCTATCATGGTGGAATCTGTGACCAGGTCAACGACTGATACATGTTACAGTGCCATTCCCAAATCTTCATCTGATGCAAGCAAAGTTACCTCCAGGGGTGCAGGGCTCTCTAGAGCTTACGTGGGCCAGAAAAACTCTTTCTCTGTAGACTGCAGCAAAGCAGGTAATCCGCCTTTTCAGATTACTGGTTGATTGACCAAACAGAACTTTTCACTTCTGCTGGAGGTCTTGGTCCATAAATAGTCTCGACATCCTTAGCAAATCTTACGTTACTGAGAAAATGGCTGAGTGGCCATTGACATTGGAATATTAGATCTCTCACCACTTTTCAAGAAGTTGTAGAAGGTAAATGAGCGTGAAACTACTGAAACTTTCAACTCTACTGAAACTTTAATTTTATGTTGTGGTTAGCAAGGCCTGCTTAATATATTTGTATATATCAGTGCAATGTCCTTGCAAAAATATCTTGCCCGTGAATAGCATGTTTGGGCAAATGTACATGTAATGGACCAAATAATGTGAGATATTTTGCTTGGAAATCTTAAATCTTGGAACGCAGAGTGTCTTGTATTCTGCTGTTTCTTGTGGTGACATTCTTTTTCTGCCTTAGGTTCAAATATGTTGTTAGTTGGTGTCCATGGACCTACTACACCTTGCGAAGAAGTATCTGTGAAACATTTGGGAAACCATCAGTACAACGTAACATATGTCGTGAAGGAGAAGGGTGACTATATTCTAGCCGTGAAGTGGGGTGAAGACCACATTCCTGGAAGTCCCTTCCATGTTACTGTTCCATAAGCGCATCTTGTTTCAGAACGTCCTGCTCTCCGAGTGAAATTGTCCAATGTGATACTGTGAGCAGTTCTCCAAGAAAGTATCTTCCTGAACGCAGATCATATTTTAATGCACCTCATATTAAAATTAACTTTTTTAAAGGGTTGTACTTTTGTCTTAACTATCACTTCTATACAATGCAAATCAAGTACATTATTTAGATCATACCATTCTGAATTGATACACAATCATTTAAAAGTGAAGGACAGTCTCCTTCCGTTTTTTTGTAGATTTTAGAATTTACAAAGTAAACTGGAATATGTCATGGATAATAAGGTATCTTAAACTACTGACTTGTATTGGGTGTTTTTAGACTGGAAATATTTCCTTTAGTTGTAGAGTATCACTCTGGCAATTGTCTGTCTTCTGTAAAGAAATGAGGTAAAATTGGTACTTACTGTGCCTTTGTATACTTGATTGTCTTTTAATACCTATCGGTGAAACTCAAAATAGTGTTACAGCTAAACACTATAATGTCTTACAAAATGGTTGGCTGTTTACATTTGGGGAAAGTGAGAACTGTTTGCTTTTTTACCCTCCTGGAGGAAACCAAAAGGGGTATCGGAGCATTGCTGGAAACCTTCTTCACTAATGTTCTATGCAGTTATAATGCCGTCTTGCTTTAACCTTGATTGTTGTTGACAAGATGCCAAATTAGGTTGACATCCTGGCCAAGATGCCCCTTGCTTCTTGGGCGCTTGAGATCACCTGTGAGCGCCATATATAACCTGCAATAATTCTTCTTCCAAGAGCAGCTAACTATTTCTGCACACAAAATGTTCATTTCTGTATAGCTCACATTGGTTGTAGTGGAAGAATGTGTAACCCCACCCCCACAATCTTTTTAGTTCGCCAAGAAAAGCATATTGGGAATTACTCATTATGTCTTCTGATGATGCTGATGTGAAAGATAGCTGAGGCATTTAGTCTTTAAACGACTCTCTGAATGTTTCTAGCCTAATTAACAGCAAATAGGAGAGTTTTAGTCAAAGGTGTTCCTGCAGAAGTATTTGTCCCTTTATGTTTTGAGAGAAGGAAAATAAATCACATAGCCCATTTCAGCATTCAGAATCCAAGTGTATAAATGATGGTTACTACAATACTGCTGTAGTTTTTAGCAGAATTTTCAGAGCTTTAAATGTGCCTGATGGAAGAAGAGACTTAATGGAAGTAACTCTGTTCCTTTCCCTCTGTTTTAGTAAATGACTTCTATTTGGTTGGCTTTATTTTTGTAGTTTGGGTATCAGTGCACTAAGCCTCTCTAAGCACACTTTCCTGGAGGAGAAATAGGGTAACAGGATTTTAACTGTGCTGTGTGCCTTAATGTGAAATGCTCACTACATTGTAAACTATAAGCAAAAGCAAAATAAACTGGAATAAATGCAAGATTGTAATATTGTATCTCATAACTTATTAAAAACCACAAATGTTTGCTTCATGAAATAAAATGTGCATGTTTTAAAAAAAAATAACACGGAAGGCTTTTTGAGTATCGGTTTTGTTATGTCTTCCATCTAAATGGAATAATTTGTGTCTGTATTGTATGCTTTTCAAAAGGCACTGGAGAAGAGAATAAGGTAGATCAGCAAATGCTCAACATTAGCAGTAGTTCTTGAAACATGAGCAAATTCTCCAGTGTATATACTGTATGTAACCTCACCTTTGGTGAGAGCAGCAGGCATCCCCTTGAATTTAGCACAATAGGCTCCCTCGCTCTTAAGAATGCGGTTGTGTTTCTCAGAGCTATTTATACCTTAGGGATAGGCCTAGGCTACAGGGCATGCCCAATTTAACTCTAAATCGACAGTAATTTTTGTTGTTATTGTGCTATTTCCATCCTTGAAATACACACTAGAGCAGCCATTCTTAACCTTTCTTTGGTCATAGCCATAAACACAATATGAAAGAAATATAGACTGAATCGGGTTTATGTAAGTTGCATAATGAACCTTATAAGATAGTGTGTGACAAATTCTTTCCAGGTTGACCCACTCACTTCAAATGTGCCAGGTCACACACACACACACCCCTGAGGTCTTAGGACCCCCATTGAGAATGGCTGATCTAGACACATCCATTTTCAAAATTACCATAGTTGTCTAATAGATAATATTTCCTTATGTAAAATGTACAAGGTTTGTAGCCTGACATAACGCTCAGGAAGTTGCTTGAGACCTTGGTTAGCTGCTGACAGTGTAGATAGTAGTGGACTAGATGGACCTATAATCTGACCTCAGGTACTGCAGCGCTCCATGTAGACCTTTGTGTCCCTGTCTTGCTGCAGGTGAAAATGGGATGTGTTTTACTAATTCTTACTTCCTTCAAAATATTGCCAAGTGAGTCAGCGCAGGCTGTTTACCCATGCATCCATCTTCTTCCCATGAGTTAATCTAAACAAATCAGTAGCCATTCAGAGGTTGTCTCTTTAGTTGAAGCGCATATACATGGCTTCATGAACCTGCAAATGAATGTGATGCGTTTTACTAATTCTTACTTCCTTCAGAATATTGCCAAGTGAGTCAGTGCAGGCTGTTTACCCATGCATCCATCATCTTCTTCCCATGAGTTAATCTAACAAATCAGTAGCCATTCAGAGATTGTCTGTTTAGTTGAAGAGCATATACTGTACATGGCTTCATGAACCTGCAAATGAATGTTCATGGCTCATTAAACCTTGCCACTTCATGGCTGATGAAGAGCATTGAGCTGTTTTTTGTGTTGGAATAGAATCTTGCTCTGAAATTAAGATTTATTAGTGATGTTGCACTTTGGGCACATGGTAAGAAAGTAGGATTCTCTGGAAAAGACAATGCTAGGAAAAGTGGAAAGCAGCAGGAAAAGAGGAAGACCCAATATGAGATGAATTGATTCCCTACGGGAACCACAGGCTTGAGTCTACAAGAGCAGAGCAAGGCTGTTGAGGACAAGACCTTTTGAAGATTCCTTATTCATTGGATTGCCATAAGTCATAAATGACATGACGTCACATAAAGTGTTTCTTTTTCCAGAGTTGGTCACAATCCAGTAGTGTAGTCTTGTGCCACCTGCTGCCCTCCAGGAGAAGTGAATCATCTGCTCTGGGATAAATAACCTTGATGATACTACTTGCACGCCCCCCCACCCCCCAATTTTAAGCACAAGAAACTCTAGGGATAGTTATTGAAAGAGAGCAAATACAAAGTTTTTTGTCTCACATTTGTAGTCCTTGTTTAACTGCCTGAGGACACTCTGGTTGGGAAAAGCCTGAGGCAACAATGTCACTTGTTCTGCATTAGCAGTCCTACTAATTAGTTCTAGCAAATCTGCCATATCTGGGCAGTAAATAGATTCCTGGAAATGTATTTTCCGTTACAGTTTATAATTTGGCCTCGAATCTACAAGCTCCCTCTAATGAGAAAAGGGCACCTGGGCTTCCTCCAGCAAGCTTTAATCGTAAGAAGGCAGGGTTCTCTGGAAAAGACAATGCTGGGAGGCAACAGGAAGGCAGTTGGGTTTTGTTACCTTCTGTTATTGCATCTGACGTGCCACTGTGGCAGCTTTTTACAACAGCAGAGATGTTGTAGCATGTCAGTTGTATTGTAAGAAACGCCAACAAAATAAAGGATACAAAGAGTGTTTAATCAAATTAAGCATTTGGAGTGCATTTTCTTAACTATTTTGTTAATGTAACTTTCTAATTTTCAGAAAAAGTAGCCACTTATATCATAAAGAGCAACTCTGGTCTGTTCTTTTTCGGTCAGGAATCAATGCTGTCCTTGTTTCCCTCACCTCCAGTGTTAATATTTCTTTTAAGCATGTATAGTCATCCCTTCAACAAAATTCCCAGAGTGGTTTATGCAACATAAATAAAATTAACAAATACTATGACCAGTAAAAATAAGAAGCAAATTAAAACCTGCTCTAGCCCATGCAAAGAGTGGAAGGCCCAAATTAGTAGTTGGAGGGCTGCAGGGTAATGGGGGAAATGAGGGCAGGAAAGTGCTCAGTTGGGTGCTGTGGATGTGCGACGGATAATTGAATATTACAGATCATTAATTGCCTGATGTTCTTTTAAAGTGTTCTTTCCTGTTCCTCTAGTTTGCTAACAATTTCTGGGGTTACTGGGATGTAGTTGTCAAGAGGTGCCTTACATTTATCTTAAAAATTCCATTCCTTTGCTTAAGAATTTTCAAATAAGGGGGAAATTGCTAGGAAAATAAAAATGGTGCTCCAGTCTGGATGCATAACCCAGGAGATAGAATACTAAGCTTGGAAAATGTCAGTGTGGCTCTGCCTGGAATCTTTTGCATGCATAGTCTGCTGTATCACAGAGCTGTAAAGAAGATGTGATAACCCATGAAGTGTATGCAGACCACAGAGAAGAAAGTGCTCTCACAGCATGGAAATTTTGGAGTTGTAATCCCAAGAAGTAACTTCTCCAAGTTTTGACTGTGTCCACTGTGTTTGGAGCTCACACTACAATCTGAAAAGAACCAAAAAAACAAAATTACAAAGCCCCACCCCCACCCCCGTTAATATGCTGTGTTCCATGCTGTCGCTACCGTCTGCTTTGCAAAGCCTGGGTTATGTTTTCTAGTTGCAGTTATGTCCTCACATCAGCAATGATACAGCTACATAGAAATGCCTGCCTTGTTTTTTTCATGCCACACCTAGGCGTGAAGCCATTTGGACATTCTGGGTTTATGGATCTGTTAAGTTACTCATCTCTATATGAGCTTCCGTACTGTGTACTTCTTGAAACTGGGGTGGAGGCCTGGGATTTCTGTCTTGTAATTTATGTCTCTCCACTCCAGGGGTCTGAAATGTACCCATTCTTTATGGGTGTGTTCGTTCTTGCACTATGATTAAGGCCTTTAAAAACGAAACCAAAGAGATGAGATGGGAGTTTCTCACTATGCAGTTGCCTTCCTCAGCCTTAGCTTTAAAAGACAACTGTTAACATGGGCAAGAAAGACACAGAGGACACACTCAAATGTATTGAACTTCCCGCCCCATGACTGTGTGCTGTGTTTGTGTACATTTCTTGGAACAAATACTGGCACTTATACTGCCCCTGTTCAGCAATGGCCATGAGTACTGCATTGTGAAAGAGGGTCTTTTGAAAAGATGGTTTCACCTGTAACGTACAGTGAACCAGTCAAACCTGCCCTAGGTTGGGGCTATGTTATGCACCCAAATCCTGGGGAGGGTTTTGAGCAGAACATAGAGCCATTTTTTCTGTCGGGGGAGAGGGAGAACAGGCAGGCACCACAAGGAAGCCAATCTAACCTTCTGTGGCTTTTCCCTGAATTTCACTTTGCTTTTCTTTTCCAGGGCAGGTAGAACTCCAGAAATGGAGTCTGGTAAATCCCTTGCCTCCTTACACCGAACTCTACAGAGTTCCAAATAGCTATGTTGGTTAAATCTCCTTGTCTTTAAACCCCTTGCTTGTGTATCTCTCTGTGTGAGAGAGAATATCCCATATACAGTGGTGCCTCGCTTAATGAGCGCACCGCAGAACAACGAAATCACATAGCGATGAGGTATTCGCGATCGCAAATGTGATCGCATACTGATGGCCCCTGTGGGCAAAATTTGCTTTGCAATGATCGGTAAGCGTTTCGCTTACCGATCTTTGCAAAGCGATGCCCGCGGATCAGCTGCTTGGCGGCTCCAAAATGGCCGCGCACAGCGTTTTCGCGCCCTGCCCTCACTTACCGAGGGTGCGAAAATGGCTGCCGGACCCTGGAAACATCACTGAACTGTGAGTTTTTTGCCCATTTGGAACTTCCCTGTTCCATACAGCGATGTTTTCACATAGCGAGGGTTAATCCGGAACGGATTAACCTCCCTATGCGAGGCACCACTGTAGTTCACCACAAGGTGTGTAGATAGATGGGGAAAACGCCTTTTTGTTTCATTTTCAACCTCAGCTGCCACGGAGCATCTGCTGAGTTGTAAAGTAATCTGCTGGACAATTTTAGCAGCAAATCAAGCTGAGAAAGATCATTTGACCACGAGCAAAGAAATCCTCTCAAGTGCAGCCTTGTCATACATTCTAAACAGTATTTTGTGGGGTGGGAGAGGGAACTGGGCCATGCAGACTGGCCTCGGGGTTGCATGGCTGTAATCTGAGTTTAGCTCCCTGGGCCCTTTTGTGTTTGTTTCCTTGGACACCAACAGAGGCAGGCAGTGTTAACTCACACCACGCTCATTCAAGGACAGTTGGCAAACGGTCTCTAGGCATCACCTCTTGGGGGGGCATGAGGGGCCTCTTGACTACACGGGAGCAAAATGCTTGGAGAGAGCTTATTAAAAAGGAGGCCTTTTGCAGAGTCAGCTGGAAGGCAAAATATGGGCCCAAATACCCTCGCCAAGTGCCTGACTACGGAACCTCCAGGAAGAAGTGCTCCTTGCCAGCTATCCGTCTTCCTGAGAAGAACGGCGCGAGCTCTTCTACACGTGAAGAAGTAACTGTGAAAAAGGAAGGAGAAGGAGAGCAGGCGCCCGGAGCAAAGAAGGGTGTCGGTTTTCAGGAACCTTTTCCAGAGATGAGGGCCCCCACCCCGGAGACCACCCAGCTGCTTTACCAGGGCTTTTCCCATGAAGGTGAAGGGAGACGCCACTACCTCAAGGAGAGGACAATGAAGAGCCCTGAGGAAAAATTCTGTTATCCAGTGCTGTCATCATGGGAGTATGGCTGGCGCTTAGGTAAGCATGACTTGGTTGTGGTAGCCACATTGATCACCTCACACCATAAAAAACATGTCATGGGCTTAAGAAAATAAAATCGTACCTTGGTGGCAATACAAACAACAATGTTGACAGTGTTATTTCCCATCTTCTTCAGTGGCTTTCTTGAGGAAAAGCTGTTACATAGCTTGTGTGGAGTTGGTACATCTTGAGTTATCTGATGGGGACAAGAAACGGCCTTTTTCATAGGACTGCAACTTTCTGCTGAAGCAGTCTAGGATGGCTGTTTTTTTGCTTTTTCTAAAACCAGCAGACAACTGATAATTGTTATTCAGCCAGGCCTTTGGTATGCAAGTGAGACAGCTTAGGAAAGGAGTCTTAACTCCTCGGTGCTGGTTCTCTTTGTGGTGGTGTTCTTAGCTTAATTGTTAGATGCCTTGAAATGCATGGCATAAAGTAAATAAACACAAATATGTTATAGGCACCTTAAACTGCCTTAGACCATAGTGGAACTGGCCACTGTTAGAAAAAAACAAGACTGCAATAACAGAACGATTTGCTTGTCCTACCCATTCCTGTTACTATGTTTAGCACTGCTGAGGTAGCTGTCAATCACATCATCTTCTGTGTGCAAGAAAAAAGACCTTCAGAAGACCACTGGATTACCAGTGATGTTTGATGCACACAAACCAACCTCCAAACTGGTTTTGCGTGTCAGCCTGTGTTTACCTTATTTACTTCAGTTGGGGTTGGAAAGTACACTTAGATGTATTTGTTTGCACTGCTATCTTTTTAATCAGACCTGATTCTGCAAATGGAGGGGGCAAAAATCTAAAACAACAACCAAAGTGCTGTTCATTTGCCTAATTTCTCAGCAGGCAGAAATTCAACAGGTGAAGCTTTGACCATGAAACGATAGGAAAGCCGTACCCACTAGCTTTCTGCATAGTCTACTGCCCACCATTACAGACAGGGGAGGAGGAAAGTTTGCACTCCTCATGGATTTGACCTCTAGTTTTATGCATTATTGTTTTCTTAGCAGAGCTTTGCTCCGTAGGAGCTGTAGAACCTAGAAGATCCTCAGACCTTTCAGCTTCATTCAAAGGGAGTAATAGTCAAAATGGGATTCAATGGTTCTCTTCAGTCAAGACCAAACCCAGCATTTAGCCCAGTTGCTAGTCTAGAAAGCTGCAGCTTCAGGTGGTGAACTCAAGAGTGGGTTTGTCAGTCATGGCAGTTAAATGCTTCTTGGAGATTTCATCATCAGCCAGGAAATGGATGACACATTTATCTCTCTTTCCTTATCTGCTTACAGTGTGTGACTGTTTTGCAAAAGAGTGTGAAAATCACATCATTTGCCCATCGGTGCTGTGCTCAAAATTGTTGAAACAGGTTTATTTTCCAGGGATGTTGTTGCATGATGTTACTGGTCTGGTTCTTTGTACACTGCACTCTAACTTAGATGACGCAACAACAACACGGATTAAACTCTTTTCTGAAACAGAGCTGTCAATATGAAATTTAAATTTTTTTTAAAAAAAAGGAAGAAAAGTTGATGCCCCACAGAGCATTCAATTTAACATTCAAAGAAAAGAAGCAACAGAAAGAGAGGAGGTGGAGGGTGGCAAACAATACAAAGGGTAACAAGGCAATGTGTCTGTGTTTGCTCTCTAGTTACATACGTTGCAGAGTTTTGAATTTCTGGTAAAATTTTCTTTTGTTGTGCAGCAGAAGTACCAATATCAACAGAGGACAATATATAGGCACAGAGTCCACCCCTGTCTCATTGACTGGCACTTAAAATCTTAATAACTCACTCTCAGACATTTATAAGTGAAAGCATAAACACATTTATTTACTTACCATTGCTTGAAATTATATACTTTTATATCCAGCTTTCTTTACTACACTCATACTTGGCACCCAACTGAACTAATTAACAGCAAACTAGCAGCTGACAACAACAGACCAAAGAGAGGGGGAAAGCACTCAGCAGAGAGACAGGGCTTTTTTTTTAAATCAAAGGCCAGAGGGAAGAATTAATTAGTGCTGGATAGGCAGAGAATCAGCCCAGCCCAGAAAAGTCCCTTTCAGTCAAACAAATTACAGGCAGCATGGTTGCAAAGAAAACTCCAACAACATTACCTAGGCTTAATTGCAGTAGAAGATAATGACTCAATAGTGTGCAGCCATAAAAAACAAAACATTACTCCTTTGACTTTGGAGAGGTGGATATTTTGGCTTTTTATAATATTTTGAAATATTAGTATTTATATTCTACCATGATTTTAAATAAAAAGGCTTGTACTGTATTTAAATATCAACTTTTGGAATTATAATTAGGATATATAAAGCATTTTAAAGATCAATTTTACTTGTTAATTCAGTTATCTTGTATAGTGATCTTATTATTGGATTTTTTTTCCCCACCAGGAGATGTGCTTAAAGATATTGGGACACCAATTCATGGCAAATCTCGCATTGTAAAGGATACTTTCTACTTCAAAAATGGAGTCTTCTATCACCCTTCAAAAACTGACAAGCTGTCATGAATATTAATGCTGCCTGAAATGCAGAAATATTTGTACATGATTCCCTTGCATGGATCTTTGTTGTAGTAGCAGATCACACTGACTCCATCTATTGAATCCATATTTATTCATTCATAGAGTAGGGCCATAAAACTTAATAGTGATTCATTATTTCATGAGGTGGTCTCTATACATGACTACATCTGGAAACAATCCTGTCTAATTACTTCCATCTGTAATTACTATCGTACATTTGGAATAAGCCTCTAACACTGCTCTGTCTGTAACATGCCATGATTCCTGCACAACACATGCACAATAACTATGATTTAGCTCACTGGTTCCCCGTCATTGGCCCCAAATGTTCTTGGACTACAACTCCCAGAAGCTGAGCTGACATTGCCGATACTCAGGTCTTCTGAGAGTTGTAGTTCTAGGACCTTGGTGAAACTATGGGCCAATCTTCCTTGGAACCCACCATGATTTGTACCGTTGTGCTGTTGAAATTTGGTGAAAAGCATGCCGTCAAATCTTGGCAGCAAACCAGAAATACTGCTTTATTTTTAAAAAAATTGCTTGGTTTCAAGCCTTTTTGAACAATTCCTTCAAATTTTCACTTGTTTTAAAGGGAGATTTATGGTTGGTTGCTCTGTTGTATCACATTACGTTCTTTGTTTTAATTATTTTCACTGATAGAAATGAGCCCCTAAAACATTGGTATGATGAACAGTGCTAATCACAAAGGACTTATGACTATAATTATATATTAAATCCCACAAAGGCATGCTGGTTGATTCCTTGTCGTGGGAGCAAATAGCCATTGGAGAATAAAAAATGGTAATGGTGGATACAAACATCCCTGCGGTTCTCATTATTTCCCCTATTGATCTTCAGAGATAGATGTTACTGACTTGCAAGATTATCCTGGTTACTTGAAAAGATGGTTCAAATGCAAACCCACAGTATTTCCTGTATCATATTTAAAACACAGCTCATGGGTCAGTTGCTTTGGGGGCAAAGGAGAGACTTCTAAGTAATCTGGGAGGTGAAACTGGGGCTACCCTAATCCTCTTATTTTCAAGACTGGAAACTTAGCCAACCCGGGACTGCCACTGGCCGTGAATTCTGGGAACTGTAGTTCCCCAAAGAAATTTTTTCCCAAGCTCTGGCTCCTTATCACTCCCTAGAGTAAAACCAGGTCTGCCTGTTTGTTTTGAAAGCTGGGAGCTGACAGCCCTGGGTTGCTCCCAGCAGCTGCCTTACAGACAGGAAAGGTGGACAAAGGCTCTCTTGTTGCTCCCCTTGGTGTCTGGCTGGTGTAAGAAGAACAGAAGATTTAAGACAGAAATAGGAGCCTCTGTTTACCTTCTGGGTGCTCATGCTGTGGAGGCTGCTGCACAAGACAGGTGTGCTTTTCAGGGCTGCCACGTTCAGGACAACAAGCCGTTTAAATGCAAGGTGAGTTCCTCAAAATCTGAAGGTGCTTCCCTGGAGCTGAGAAAAATGGCAGGGCAGCTTGTATTCTATAGACAGTCAGTAATTGACTGTGTAGCTTCTGCTATTCTCTCCATTTGACCTCCTCCTGGCTGATTTATCTGTTGCTTCCTTCTCTCCCTTTTCCCTTTTCATTTTCTTTCCCCCTTTTTCTTTGGGCTTTAGTTGCTTTTCTGAGAAGTTGGTGAGATCCTGTGACTCACAGCTCCGCAGAGACCACTTGACTAGAACAAAATATCTTAAAGCAGAACACTGCAAAATAAATGGAGTGATTCAGGCTCTAAGATTTCAGCATGCTAATGTATCTCAACAGTGGTTCCTTTTTAACAAAATGTGAATAATACAGTCAGGCTGTAGCACCGTAGGTTTCATGTTATGATTTGATTGAAATGTGATAGCAACCTGAAATATATTTTGGTTTTATGATTTAGTACAGGAGAAGTTTCCAAGGGGCTGCAAAGGAAGAAGTAAAGAAAATTTCAGCCAATGATATGACATGGGGCTGCTACTTTTATCTGTGCTTCATAAAGCCATGGTTGCTGCTTGAGTTGGTCCACAGACCAACTTCATGTTTTGATTTTGTACCACGCTATGCCTAGATTTCTCCTGTCTGTCCACCCCTGAGTGTGGGAGAGGGCAATGGGGGTGGTCCCTCAACTCCAAAATGTATTTAGGCTGGGGCACAGTCTCTCCTCACTACTCTGGAGAAGAGCGTTCCTGGGCCGCAAGGCCATCCAGATGCATAATGCTTGCTCTTATTTAATGTTGGCACTTTAACGATCGTGCAAAGTGTACAAGGTTTGGACATTCAAATATACAATAACAACACAAACCCACTGAGATATAGATTTGCAAAAAAAATTATGTATTCATATATGCTATGGCCTTTATAATAATGAGCTTATTTGCAATAGTTTCCAACCTTTCCTTACTATTGTGTTACATTATTCTTTTCACAATCTGATAACAGAAAGAGAAAGCTTGTAGGATGCTCAGCACTGCATTTTTATATGTTGTAAGAGAAAGTATGGGGGGTCTGTAAGGGGAGGGCAAGAAAAAGTAACGAGCTGCTCCATCCCATGAAAAAGTGTTGAGGACTTCCTTGAGACCATCACAAAGGTTCAGAACAGGTAATATATTAATGATTTTCCTGCATAGGAAAGGAAGCTAATATTGTGTTGTGCTAATTAGAATGATGGACTAAAATGTGAGAGACCGAGGTACAAGCCCTCACTGAACCATGAAACACACCCAGTGGCTGTGGAGCAGTCACTCCCTTTTATCCTGGTCTACCACACAAGGTTGTTTTGAAGATAATGCCACAGAAGAAATCCATGCTGTCAGGTCAGGGACTTCAGTGCCTTCTTATCTCCCGAAAAGCTGTACAGAACTTTATAAACCTCTAGAGACAAAATCAGATGCTTGTGTCCATCACAGCCAGCATTTATCCCTGAGAAACGGTTAATTGCACAATGAAATCAGACACTCATTTTCAACCATATCAAGTTTCATCTGGGTATCAAGGTATAAACCCTTACATTGTTGCAATAATTCCAGGAAACATAGATTTGTCTAATTTTATAAGATTTATTTATCTACATTGCTTCTATGTTCCATAAGCATGAACATACCCTGAATGTTGAAAACATTCAAAAGTCTTACAGCTATGGAAAACAGCAAGTACAAATGCTTAAAAAAATACGAAAACTAAACTTAAACTGCAGACAAATACTTAACTCATATTATTATTACCTTTCAAATAGCTTACATTATAATAGCAGTACCTTACATACTAAAAATGGCAGCACTTATAGTGTAACAAGCAAATTGACTAAGAGACAATGCAATTCTAAAATACCAAAGTTTTAAAATTAAAAATATGTTAAAGAAAATTACTTAGTCTCTATGAATAATAATAAAATTTTGAAGCTCTGCCGATGCTTTTACTGTTACACTATTGTTGTTGGTATCCAGTGCGTGTGACATGGCGTGTTGCTGTATGTATGTATGTATGTATGTATGTATGTATGTATGTATGTATGTCCTGCCTTCCTATATTTATAATTCTTTCAGTTGTTTACCTTTCCATTCAAACTCTTTTCCAGGACCTGCAAGTTATAGGAGTCTGATGCACCAAGGATAATTTTTAATAGGAATCTGTATTCTTGCACCTCTAGTTACCTCAAGGGCTTGTAACTCAGCATCTGGCAGGTTGCATCTTTATTATGACTAAAATTTTGCAAAGCCTGGAGGAATAAAGATCTATAAAAAAAACAACAACCCAGGTCCAACAAAGTACTGTAACACAAGAGTATTGTAACTGCAAAGAATGCAAATTATATGACCTGTCAGGACTGTTAACATATTGAAACATAAATACGTTCTACTTATATCAATGTGCTTTCAATTCTCTCTTTTGTTTATGCTCTGTTATCATTTGGAAAGCAATGTCAGGAATGCTATGGTACAGTGATCTTGCTTGGCCGGAGTGCTGGCTAATGGTTTTCACAATGATGTCAGTAAACTGTTGTTCAAGCCTCATTTTAAAAATGCAATGTATTTTCTTAGGACTATTTTTTGTACACCCCCCTTAATTATTTTAGCACCCTATAAATACAACGTTTCATAACAATTCCTTTTGGAGAAGTGGAACATAAATGTTATTAATAAGTACAACAAAGGAAGGAATCCTCACTACCCCTGGCTAGCAAAAAAACAGTATAATAAGCAACTTACACTGTTTCTGGAAGGTGCATGTGCTTGGGCTTCAATTAATCTAAGAGGAAGAGGACATTTAAAAAAGAAAAGAAAAGAAATAAACCACAGCCAGCTTTTCTTTGAGTGCTCTTGCGGATCTGAGTTCAGACAAGAATGTTGGACTTACAGAGCTGGCATTGTGGGGGAGAAGAGATTTCATTTCCCCCTCACAATTGCAATAATTCACAACTGCAGATGTGCAGCTGCACCAGAGCAATGACACCCCCGCCCCCCAGTAGCGAGGCCAGATGGCTGTTGGAGGCAAGAAGCAAGCAGGCTGTTATGCAGATAAGGCCAGAAAGGCTCAGTCTGTGCAAAGCAATGAGCCAGCTAAGTTCTGGAGTCAAGTGACAGGAGTGTAACACACCCACTCATGACAGGTTTGCACGTAAACCTTGCAACCCGAAATGATATTTTACTTCAGTCAAAGTAAATTAGAGGACCGGAATACTCATTCTTGATACAAACTATTCTCTCTTACATTCTTTTCTTTTTTCTTTTCTTTTTTGCATTGATGTTGAACTTAAATGTCTGCGCAAGGAGGACAGGAGAAGCTCAAAGTCAGTATAAACTGTACAGGCAGAAACGTACCAGCTAGTCTTAGGCAAGCCACTATTGGTCCACCTCATTTTCTCCATTTGCAACATTGCAAGTCTCTTGTGCTGTAATATTATACATGTTTACCCAGAAACAATTTCCTTTCCTTTTGATGCATGGCTTCCATTGTAAATGTGAGTAGGATCAGTTTCTTAACTAACCTACCCCAATGAATTGTGAGTCATGTGCTGTCCTAAAGGGCAGGCAATGGTGTTGCCCACAGTGCCTACGATGGAATAGATTCAGCCCAAAAAAGTCAACAGGTACGGTATACTGTGGAAAGTTTGGGAACAATTACTTGTTATATTTATATTTCTGTTCCTTCTGTGACTCACACCCATTTAAAAAAGGATACAGACATGATTTGGATTCCTGCACTGAGCTGGGGGTTTGCACTTGATGGTCTTATAAGCCCCTTCCATCTACATTATTCTACAATTCTATAAATGGGTTCTTGTTACTGAACTATGGAAAATGTGTGGCTTAAGAAAATATATACAGAATGAAGAGGGACTACAGCCTGAAAGTAGGATCAGGGTGGTATTAATAGCAGCCAACTCTAAAACAAAAATAACCACTGACCACACAAAAGGAATTATGTCTTTTAAACCCCTGAAAGAAAGTTTATGGCAGCAGAAATTTCTACAGTTTCTTTTTACATGTTGAAGCGTCACATACCAGGTTATCTTGATGGGGTAATCTTGTGTCTGAAGAAGTGTTATCACACACACACAATTTTACAAGCCTTCTGTGTCACAAGTTCCTATTATACCATTTTGGAACAGGTTATGTCACATATGAGTTGGGCATCTAGATGCTGTCTTACTGTTGTATGTTTGCAACTCTGAGGTTTGTGGTAGCAATGCAGGAGAATGATCGGCATAAACATAGGAAAATCAAACAAATTAAATTCAAAACACAGCACTCAACCTATTAAAATCCCATTCAGCTATAGGCCAACGTGCCCCTGGTCTGATTAAAAGCCTATGAGCCTGTCAGCAAATTG